TTTGAAGACTCTAATCATCGTGTCCACTCCATGCTTAGTAGGTTTGACTACCTTGCATCCATTGCTTTGTTGTCTGGGATCCTGCTGATCTTTATGGCCATGCCTACTTATGCATTGTTGTTTAGTATAAGTACTTAGATATGAAGCAAATCTTAAAATGCAGTATCTTGGTGGATTTGAAACAACTATGCTCTCATGCACTTTCAAACTTTCTGTTATAAAAAGTTAAAAACTGTTGCTGATTGTGGGAAAGTGTACTCACCTGTCATGCAGTTTCAAATTCTATGGAGAGAAGTCTTGGTAACCCTTGTATTCCTAGAGGATATAAGCTGACAGTGAATGCTAGTGATGCACAACTTCTAGTTTCCTCAATGGGTGGAAACTTTTCTGCATGCAAATCTGAGGCTTTGGCATCATTAAAGAAAAGACAAGGTAGCATCATCTTCTGCTCCTTCATTGTCATGCGTTTCTATTTTTCCTTTCCATTTGAAATTCAATTTTCTTGTGCTGGTATCCATTTTTTAAATAAACTAATAATGCCCGTTATACCACAATAGAAGTCTTAATAACGAAGTCTCCCCAAAAGGGAGTAAGTTGGAAGCTTGACTTCAGTGTTAAGTTAAATAAACATCAAGGATCTAGGAAAGTACTCTTTTCTAGAAAGAGAATTTCAGTATGATGTTGCATGTAGAAAACCATTCATGATTAATTCAATTGCAAATGACCATATTGATCTATTGGATTGGAATAAAATACTGACACGATAAAGGAATACATCTCTATGTCGTGGGTTGACAACATGACGTAATCAGGCTTTAGAAAGAGATTTTACTTCCTGCTTATTGATAAGTTTTATAGTAATATCTACCTAGGTTATTCATAGACATAAACTTTGGTATTCTGCTCTTTTACCAGTTTTATTTTATTAGGACTTTTTTTTGTTTACATAATCATTCTGTTAGTGTTAGGGAATGTCTGTTTGATATACTGTGAAGTTACAGCTCTTTGGTTTTTGAGATTCTAAGTTAATTGTATGAATAAAAGATGATCATTAATAGTTGCTCTTTATAAAATGCAGATAAATGCATTGGTGCACCTTGCAAAATTGTCTCATCCTTTCCTTTTGAGTTACGAGGCAAGCCCGTTTCTACCCAGAACTTCTTATTTACTTCTGAGGTTGGTAAATAAAGAGATTAATTTATTTTCTTTTTTAAAATCTAGTTTAACATGAGTGTTCAGTTATAGATCTGGTGTTAAACAACCCATAAATCTTGGTTAGAGCTTTAGATACGTATAAAAAAATTGTTATGATCAGATAAACTTTTGTGAAATTTGGGAATGCAATGGTCTTATTTTATTTCTACCAATATTGCTTTATGTTTTATAGTTTTAGGTCACAAGTCAACCAGTTTTGTGCCTTTTGGATTAGCCAACCTTTGCCCACTTTGATAGAAAACAAAGTGGTGTGGCATTTAGTGTAATTTTTTCAGTCTGTTTGGGTGTTTCAGTTTGACTTTTCAATACATAGTAGTATAAAAAACTGATCGGATCCTAATATTGAAAATACTTTTGGACCCAAATGAAACTGACCATCAGAAGTAACATCTTTCTACAAGCAACTTGTGTTGAACTTTGCAAACAACATTTAGAAAGGGCAATAGGGAACTTTGCAAACAATATTTAGAAAGGGTGATAGGGATTTCATTATTGAAATTGGAACTTTCTCAAATGTTTTATAGATTATAGGGATTAACGAATATGTACCATTTCTGTCAATTAACTTGATGGAAATGTGATTTTGTAGCCACTTACACAACACAACATACCAAAACTAAAAGGGTACAATAGTTTGAACGGAAAATGCAGGAACTAAGTTGCACAGACTTCATATATGCAATTTAGCAAATACTGGCTCATTTTCTATCAGAGGGATTATTTGAGGGCTTCTCTGGTTTAGTTTCAAGATGCTTTAGGAAGCGTTAGCCCGAGTTTGGGCCTGTGTACAAATTTATGGCCCATTTAATCTGAGCCTGCTAGGTTGAGCCCAACTTGAGTGTTGACCCTCAAGTTTGAACCTAGCTTATTAGAAAATTGCATGCACAACCTATTTACTTTTAGATGCCATAAGTGGGCCGAGCTTGGAAGGCCGCTCGGCAATACTTCCATCTGTTCGTGTTATGCAGAAGCTAGGAAGGCCCCCGGCAAGCGAGCCTAAGCAAGTTCTGTTTGTAGAAAAGCCTAACTGACTCGGGTCTGAGTGTAGCATTTGCAAGCAACATAGCTCATTGTGTGCACCCCCTGGAATCAAGATATTTATCTTGTAAGTATGTGGAGTGGCACTAAGGACTGCACTTTCTCAGGAATTAGTCAAGTTACTCTGACTAGGTCTAGAAAAGGAAAAAAAAAATAGGAATTTAAAAATTTAAGAGCTGCTAAATCACAGTAAGATACTTGAATAATCAGTGTCACTTGTGAGGTTTTCAATGCCCTTCAGGCCTTATCTTCCAGCAAGTCAATGATTTCAGTGAGAGTGCTAGCAAAAACAATTCCCTTGAATTAGAATTAGATACCTTGCTTGCACAAATCATATGCTAATGCTTCCCACTGCCAGACATCTCTGGTCCCTGAACTTATGAACTCCACTTGAAATGCAGCAAATCTATAAAGTTGTCAAGGAGCCTAAATTCCAATGGTAAATAGAAGGGAAAACTCAAAAGAAATGTTTAAATCTCAAGGGAGCTTGTCAAGCAATCAAGGCCTATAAATTTAGGAGTAAGTACTGTGCGAACTGTAAAATATTAGGGACTCTGAGAGATTTGGCTTTCTGACGTGCCTGAGTGTTGTTCTTTGTGGGTTACTGCTTTTACATTTTAGCATGTTGCCCTCACTTCTGTTTTGAGTACAGGTGTTAGTTGTAAGATAGTAATTAGGCCTAATAGTATGGTCTTTCCAGTTGTATTAGTACAGGTGTATTCACGTTTTGGATCAAATTACTGAAACGTATTTGGGCATTTTAATTACTGAAACGCTTTTCCTTTCCAGAGATTAGCTTAGCTAACCTCAATGTTCTTATCACTCTAGGTTCTAGGAAAGTATTGATGTTATAGAATTGGTTAAGGATTGCCCAAATACTAGAAACATGTTCCACCTAGGTACCGGCGCGCATTCATTAAATATATCAACGGTTACCTTCTCCCAAGTACATTGGCAACTGAGCATACCCAGGTTGATAAATGTGAATTGACAATTTATAGAAGCGTGTGGCCCAAAGGATTTTTCTTTCATGAAGTGCCTGTTTTCATAATGCATATAAGGTATTGTTACATTCAAAGGATGTTGTAAACTTGATTTCACTTAAATCTACCTTGAAGTGTACGGAGTAAGGACACGTAAAGATAACTAAAATCTTCTTATTTCACATATTAGTTCTACTTTTGTTTTTGTTTAGGTTGCATATTTTTCGCTTGATGTCTTGTCTCTATCACTTGTTAATCTTGTCTCTTATCAGTTGTTAATCTGGTACTTCCTCTTCAACCTTGTACAGCTTTTTGGGCTGGTGCCAACCGCTTCTTTGTTTGAATTAGAGGCAGCAGGTCAACATTATTGCGAAGATGATTGGGAGAAACAGAAAAATCAGCATCATAGCATTGTTGATTCAGATCTGTTGAAATATTGTTTTTCATCTGCATACATGGTGGCGCTGTTGCATGACAGTCTAGGAATCCCCATGGATGAGAAAAGGTATGTGGTGAAAATCTGGTGCTATACTCTTTACATATCTATTAGATCAGATGAGTCAACTAAAAATCTGACGGACATGCTATGAGCTATACAGCCAATATTTTGGTGTCGACACGAGTATTTCAATAACAATGTTGAAGACTTTCATATGCACTGTGCATGTCTTTCAACTTGATTTACTGCATTTTGTAGAGCTGTTCGTATTCCATGCTACTTTCTACCCTATACAACACTAAGATTAAAGATTATGATGTAGCTTCGCTTGAACTGAAAATTGTAAGATGGACCGCATTTCAGGGTTGGATATGCAAATGAGACTGGAAACATTCTCCTTGATTGGACACTGGGTGCTTTCCTTGTTGAAACAATGCTGGAGCCCCTTGAATGGGAACTTGATAATATGGGCCAGATTGTTGGAAACGAGTCAGTCACTTATTTCTCTTTCTTTGCTTTCCTTTTAATAGCTGTGTTTGCTGTATTCTTTGTACTGCAATCCCGGAAACCACAAATAAAGACTATATACGATTTAGAGAAGGGACGGTATATAATCACCCGTGTACCTAGGTAATCATCACATCTTTCTGTTTTTTTGTTTTATTTCTTTCTCATTTGTTTTCTATGTGTCCCTTCATATTCATGATGAATTTGAAATCTGTATTTTTATTCTGAACGTTAATTTGAGCACGTTACCAACTCTGCATCTACTTCTTGAAACCCTGCCTTCCTATCTCTATGCCTCAAAATATTGATTGGGTGTAGCATGATGATGCTTCATACATCGTGAACACGAAAATCGCGAATGCAAATTTACTTAAGAAAGGTGTAGAACTTGGAGTCCCAAGAAGAGCATCTTCAGGTGCGGCAATCTTTCTACAACAGAAACCACAGGGCACCTCGGCTCCATGGTGGACGGTTCTGTTAGCAATGCCTCCTCAACAGGGGGCAACGGTTATCTCCACCACGGCAACCGTTCATTTGCAGTAATGATCGCTTGGCCACCGGCCCCAGCACTTATTCTGGCGATGATGCCGAAACTGTCTGTTTTCTTGGAAATGCGCTTAATGGTTCTCTTGACTTTGTGAACACGGATCGGCATACAGCGTTTCTCCACAAACCATGTGATGCAACTTCTGCTTCTGCTTCTCTGATGTACTTTTCTACCACATATTGAGCTTGGTAGGCTAAATTTAGCTGTAAAGCCAAACCGCTAATATAGACGTATTTTAATAAAATGATATTTTAAACTACTTTAATCTATGTAAATTATAATCATCATAATTTTACTCGCTATTAAGCATCCGAAACCAAAACGCAAAGTGATTGAATATCTTGTGATGAACTCGGTCATCCTTGAAAGCAAGTTACTTAGCCAGGGGCAATGCACTAGACGAAACAATCCTACTAACTCTTATCATGCCGGATTTCTACAGCATTGCCTTAAGTCTAATCAATCCTACGTTTGTACTTCCGTCACCTTTTCCGATAACTCAAGATTGTTCGAAGCAGAACATACAATATATGCCACTGTACCCGCAACTTGAAACCAAATTACTTGAGGCGGATTGAGTTTCGACTGGATCTTCTCGGAGTAGGACCACCAGGTAAGGATGCTTGAGAGGAGCCGCATTCAGCTACATCTCCATCGCCAATTTCATTTCTTCGCAGCCTCTTTTTCTTGGGTCCAACGTGTGGCTGGCTCTCGGTAGGGTAATCTGGCTCTTCTTCCACAGCTTCTGCTTTGGTTACTGTATATTGCCATTGAGTACCACAACTTGGACAAACTCTTCCGCCCTGAAACTCGTTGATTAGATTAACTAGATACTACAACTCTCTTCATATTTACTTTGCAATAAGTAAATCAATACCTTTTGCAGAGACATTTTCTTCGCACAATACTGATGAATTCGAACGCTACATCCGTCTTTTTCACACAACACTGCCTGTCAAACATAATCCAGCAAATTATCCGATTCAACAGCTTCAGCAAACGATTAACAAATCAAAGTAGTCAATTTATTTAATAACATAAGAATCCCATGTCCTATAATCTTGTTATGTAATTCTATTTTTCCTCTTGTTGCTCGATATCCTAGAGCAAGAAACAAAATGCTGATAAAAGGAAAGAAGGCGGAATAGCAATGCAGTGGGATGAACAACTTGGCAATACTAAAATAGTGATGAAATTTTTGAAACTTTAGGCCGACCTTCACCCCGGCTTCATTGCACACTTCACATGGCGGAACTTCATTATTACGTAACCAACTTCGCAGGTCAAGGAAGGATCTGATACCAAGTCCAATATAATTATCTGGAGTTAAGCTAAGCCATTGGTCCCGTACAAGTTCATCAAGAGTTTTCTCCTTCTGAGATATTGAGAAATTCTTTAGTGCAGGAGGCACATGAGGTAGACCTCCTTCTGATTGCGACATTGAACCCATGAGAACCTAAAAATAGACCACAAAAATTATCAAGTAAATAAGTGCATGAACGAGTTGAATAACCTTTTCCTAAAATAAGTGTTTTCCTATTCAAGTTTTGTATAAATGCATCGCCATGCTATTAAGTACTTTGATTTAATTTCTTTTCTTTCTAAGAGGTGGAATAGAATAACCCTTTGACTCAAATTTCTCAGCATCAAAGATTGCTTTCTGTCCGTTCTTTAAATAACTATGGTGAGTGTCACTCACATGTTCACATCGGTTAAGTCTTAACAACATACCTATGCCAGGGGTACTCTTATATTTTTTCTCTGAAAATGGGCAAAACAAATGATGTTTGAAGAAAATAAAACAAGACCTTTATCGTATTGAATCTGGAGGATAAATGAGAAGGCCTAAAGCCATTAAGTATAACTCTGTCATTTGGTTACTGGTTTACAGTGGTGGTATACAAAAGATTGATGCAAAGAAACGTTGAGAAAGAATCCCACATTGATGAGAGGAGGGACCTTGCATGTGCTTATAAGTAGTTGGGCTACTCCCTATATTGCCAATTGGTCTTATGGTGGAACCCCAACTTCTTCAAGAAAGACTAGGCATGCAGGAAATAGAGCTTTTATTATTAAGAAAAAATAGACATACCTGATTCTCTAATCTTAGATTAAGAGCATCAATGTTAGATATGGTTCCTTGAGCTGCAGCATCCTGCACTATTGCTTCTATCTGATATTTAATATCAAAATAACATCAAAAGAAAAGAACAAGATAATATGAATGTAGTTATTTAAGTATAAAACTACACAACTTCAAAAGAAATCTAGCTTCTCTTCTTTTTCTTTAAAGTCAAGGGCCACCTATTACCAAGCATCTAAACTGGAGTTCAACCATTTATACACTCAAATGACAATATTGACCGGGCTAGCTTCTTGCTCATCCTTAATGAACAAACTCTCGTGATTCCTGAATGTCTTTTTTTTTTCCACACATATGCATATGTGCATGTGCTTGCCCCCACACACACATATTTGAATTTGCATGTGACTGCACTTAATGTAGATAGAAACTAAAGAGATTACGCTCAGCATGTCTTTGTATACGCCCGTTCCTGTACTGTATGTGATAGAACTCAAGGTTAAGAGTTTTAGGGCTGATTTGTCCCCGCTCCTATGCCACTTGCAGTAAAGATGATCACACGCCATTGAGGCCAAATCCACTAGAACTTAAAGGGTTATGTGTTTATTAATATTTGTTATTTTTTAAATAGAGACCACTGATTTTGAAGTTACTAAATCTTATACACAGACAGAAATTTAATTAGTAAGAGGCCTTACAAAATTGCATATACTTGCTGAGTGTTTGTAATTAAGCTAGGTCTCTGGTAAGCTAATGGTCAACAGGATCTCCAGGTGCTTTTTTCTTGAGTTTCGAAAATAGTCTAACCATCATCAATTTTCTATTATGACATCCCTAATATTACAACATAAAAAAGGAACAATTTAATAGTCTTGATTATTCTTCAAAATTGGCTACAGAGAGAAATAAAGGAGTAAATTCTGGACGAATTACAACATGATAAAACTTAATTCACCATTCACCATAACAAATACAAGTACAGGACAGAAGAATGCCAAGTTAAACAAAACAGAAAACAGTTTAGAAATTCATAATGGCGAGATATGCCCTAGATTACCATAAGTACAGACTTGCATTTGGTTGGAAACGAAAAATCTTATAAAAGAAATAATAACTTAGTCATTGAAATATGTGCTGTTTACAAAGTTTTTATGGTCCCCATAAAAAATTGTGGTTATTGGAAGTCTTCTACACGCAAAACCATAATGTAAACAAAAACAAGAGTTACCAATCAATTCTTAGCCACCACCAATGCAAGAAGATTCTCTTTTCTTGTAGTTTGTTTTCTTTTCTTTTCCTCTACATCATAGGGGTAAAACCAAATACAGTCTTAGTTCTTTGTCTTTCTCAGAGCTTCTCTGATAGTTTAGATACTTGAACTCTAGCTTCATCTGATCATTAGTTTCTGGTTTAACTACCAAAAACTAAACCTAATCTTCGCAAACTATATATTGCAAGACCAACGGAAAGCAATATTCGATTACTCCTTAGTCTTGTTTTTCATTCTAAAAAGCAGTCATAATCATCATTTTCCATTCATGCAATGGGTTTATTCTCTACCTTTACTGCTCATGTGCGACAATGTTTACTTCGACCAAATGGCATTCACAATAAAATGGTAATTAATGGCTACAAGGGACTCTGATCATTCTGCTGAAACCCATAGCAAGATAGTACAATGAATAGGGTATATCCCAAAGAATTAACATTTTGTTCTAGAATAGTAAGATAAATTCTGAGTATCAGACAACCTGCGTTATTTCTTCCCTTCATTAACTCAATTGACCATGAAAAGCCAGTAATAATAGCATTTACATTTTCAAAACGCTCGGGAAAAAATAAAAAAATAAAACACAAATGTTTTCGGACTTACAATGGCCTTATAGAAAGCAATCTGAGCGACTGAATATTTTGTTCCAAGCTTGGATTCTTCGTCGGAAACATTATTGACAACTCCGTAATAAACTTGACCGTCATATTGGTTTCTGCATCCCCTAACCTCAAACTGGACATAAGAAAGTGCCTTGTTTATCTTGAGAAGAAAATCATCAAACTTCTGCCGATCACTACCTGCTTCAACATGAACAGATTAGACTTCTCGATATCTTCAGAAGAAGATAAGTGCTCAATTAATTCTTGATAGCCCTCCTAATTGCTGCCTGTGACTACCTAATTCAGTATCATAACTGTGAACAGGTAGTGAAAATGGAGTAAAAACATCAACCTCTATACAGAGCATTTAATCGCTACAACTACGAAGCCACCATTTCTGCTGTAAAAGAAATTATAAAATCAAAAACTAAGGGCCATTCGATAACTATTTTGTTCTCAGTTTTCAGAACTCGTTTGGTAACTATTTTCAATTTTCAGTTTTCAAAAAGGTGAAAACAAAAACGAAATGGTTATCAAACAGCCCTAAACAATGAATCAAACTAAAAATGTTAAAAACCAAGCTAAAATTGTTTCTTTAATTTATAATTTTCAGCGTTTTGACACAAGTAAACGGATTAAAACAAAAATAATAATACTTAATTTTAGCCCAACAATTATTGAAAATGGAAATTCAAAAAAAAGAAGAGGAAAAGAAGACCTGGGGTTTTGCCGGTGAGGGCGGTGAAGAGGGAGTGGAAGTGGTCCTCCTTGAGCGGGCCGCGTGAAAGCAGAGCTTGAATGACAGTCTGGTGTTTCGAGTTCAGTTCCGTCATATTCAATTCCCCTTCACCTTCCAAATTCTGATCGATTCGCTCGCACAACCCTAAACCCTAACCCTAACAAAGCATACGAAAATGGGCGTCTGTTTCCGTTTGTGTGCAGAGAAAATAGAAGATTTCCCGGAAAATAGTTTTGGGCTTTTGCTCCTCCCAGGGCGGGAAATAATTAGGGTTTTGGGTTATATTTAAGATGGCGGGAGCGGAGATGAACAAACTTTTGTGGATTATTATTTTGGAATTTATCAGTAGGTGCTGTAATTTTCGGGGTTGATAAGAATATTTATATGTAATCACGATCTGGTGGTCTAATGGTAAAAGGTGGATTGCGAGGTTTTTTTTTTTTTTAAACTAAAAATTAGAGGTTTTAGGTTTGAAACCCGCTACTGAAATGCCATTTGACATGCATGTGTGGGTCTTCTCCACCCTTGGAATGAGTGCTTAACCGTGACTGGCTACCAGTTATCCTCCGATTTAATATGATTAGTATTATAGTTAAATTTATAAGTATTACTCAAAAGAAGTCATGATGCATTATTTTAGGGTAATAACAATTTATGAATAAATCATTGAAAACATACATCTGACAAGCATACTCAATATAACCAAGAGGTCACACATGTTAAAAAAAGACCACACAAGCTCATATACTCATCCTGAGTACACTATTTCTTAACCACCACTGAGACTCACATCTAACCAACAAAAAACCTTGCAAACCGTAGAACCACCACGATGGCATCACGAGTAAAAAACTACACCACCATCTAATGATCTTGCAACCGTTAGTAAAGAAGCATTGACGTGAGTCACTCTTACAGACGATGATCTTTTCTCATCATAATCCTTTGCTATGTGCATGAACCAAACCAAAACAAAATGTGAATGATAGTCACCACTTAAAGATTTTGTAAAGTCACGGACGCCACAGAGGCTCTCATCGACAAAGCGAGAGAGCAACCACAACTATAAAGACTCTTCTCACAAGCGAGAGTGACCGCAACTAGAAAAGAAACACAATAGGGAAAAGAGGAAAGAAACCACAAGTATTGGCCACTCAGGGATTTGTTTTGCCCTAATTATAAAATGAATGAGTAACACATGTATTTGGTCTTTGAATTATTAAATGAGTTCTAGATAATTTTTTTTAGAAAAATAAGTCTTTAAACTCATGAACAACTACCAATTCCCACTACTATGAGATTCGATCCACTTTTTTGTTAATCTAAGCCATTTGACATGCATGTGGCACACTTTAGAAGATAACCAAGAGTTGAATGAAACATTTTTTTTGATAAAGTAGTCTATGGAATTAACTTTTGATGGTTAGATTCACAACTTATATGCAATGTTAAGAGCTAATGAGGGATGTTACTTAGTACTACGCTCTAGTGATATTCCTCTTCACTTGTGAGTGAGAGGTCTTAAGTTCAATTCCTACCAAAGACGAATTTAAACCATATTACTAGCTTATTGTAAGGCTAAGCCCCTCCTCTTAGTGATAGATAATATCGTTTATTTAAAACAAAAAAAGAAAAAAGCTAATGAGGTATAAAATGATTATATTACCCTCTAAAGTGTCTTGTTGATGAAAAAAAATTAATAAAATAGCTTTGAATCTTACATTTATTATTTGGGCAATTGGCCGTTCCGTTTAGGGTTCTTAACGGCTTGATAGGTGTATAAGGCCTCGTTTGACAAACCCTATAAAACACCGGATAGGATTATTTTATACGAATCCGCACTTCTGTATTAAATCACCACCGGATAAATAAGCAGGCCATCTTTATTAGTACGCTCCACGGCGTACTAACAATCCAATCCAAAAGCCTCGCATCATCATCCTCCTTTTCTTCGTGCTGCCCGTTGGCCCGTCGTCTTCTACACAGGCACCAACCCATCATCACCATTCGAACCCTTTCTGTGAAGTCCATATCAGAGCATCTAGTTCTCCACTTGCTGAACATCGATTCCGTGATTCCAGTTTTTGATATGTCGATCTGAGTTCTCCCGTTTCCACCATTCGATTCCATCCCTAACAACTCCGGCGAGCTCTCCACCTCTAGCGAGACCAGTCCCATCATCGCATAGAGGGTTTGATCTGACAGACCCACCCCTCCTCGTCCATTCGCCGACCCTTCCTTCCCGTTGATCTTCGACCCACCCCTTTCCCGTCTACCTACTCCATTCGCCTATTTCCCTGTTATTTTCCTTCTATTTAACCTTTTTTTTTTTCATTTCAACATCAATCATTTTGTAAAATGTTTAGATAATTATTATACTCCGGATTATTTGACGCACAGATTAATCCGCACAGATTAATCCGACCCTACACCAAACAACCGACTAATTTAGTCAATAGTATCCGGCGGTTATTTATCATATCCAATTGAAGTAATCAGCACATTCTGTATTGCCAAATGGAATTGATATAGATGAACTTGTTGCTGTTACAAGGAGAAGTGAAGAGAAACAATCCACAACGGCACCTGAACCTCTTTGGTTGACAAATCCATGCAGCAACAAGAGGAAGATATGAAATCTACGAAAAGGAAACAAGGTGCAAACACAAGTTACCAGAATCGGAATGAACAAATTGAGCAAACATTACAATACTCATTAGTAGCACATAAGTTTGTAACAACTGCACGCACTGCTTACTACAGACGGAAGCAACATTCTCTTGTCGTAAGTTTTCTCGTAAAGGCACAAAACACAATTTGAAGGATGACAAGAATCTTCAAAGGCCACTGATTTTCCTATGCAAATGCCCCCCAGTGCTACCTCCTCCATCATGATCATGGTCATGGAAAATAAGCGTCAGAATTCCTACCATACAAAGCACCGACCCTACAAGAAGTTTGTCATATCGCTCCACCCAGTGAAACTTGAGCTGGCTTGCACCGTAGAATGACAGAGCCACCAGTGAAGTCATCACCGTTATGGTGCTGCAAATTTCCAAATCATCATAAATTACACAGCATATTTCCAAATCAGACCATCATTTTAGTGTTTAGATGATTTCAATCCCCTATAAATTTAACTGCTAGGCCGGCCGGAAAGCAGCTATCTAGCAGCAACCAAGTAATAACATTCAATTCTGGATGCCCAAGAAGCTAAACAGTGTCGTAAACTATAAAAACTAGTTAGGAAAGCACTTCAGGTCTCGAGGTCTACTCAACACAGAATTTGGATGGAATTATATCAGGTTCATGCTTAAATTTATTATTGCTGCCAAACGTTTCACATTGCAAAAGCTTCCGGGGGTTAATAAAGATTGTGTTGATGTGCATTCTAGCTGAATATGAGAATAGAACAGGATAATATCGACTGGAGTCACTGTTTACTGGAGAAGAACGGGGATGTGCACATTTAACTTTGTGTTCCTAATCTATAAAATTTTAGAGGGACATAGGATGCAAAAGACCCACTAGTCTTCAAAATGTTTTGTGCCAATTTACTACTTAAAGAAGTTACTAATAAACTTCTCGCATGTGCTCGTGAAAGTTCGAACAGCCAAGTCATAATTAGGTAATTCATTATAGAAACAAACAAGAATGTCAAAACTTTATCCTAACTTAGTGATACCTGAATAGCAGCACTATGATAGCAAGCACCAGCATGGATGATGAATTCCCCACAGCAAGAAATACTGGAAGTGTAGTTGCACAAGGAGACAATGCAGGAACAAGGACAAGTCCAGCAACAGCCATCTTTTCCATGGGTTGGTTGTGTGAATGACTGTGACCGACTTTTCCAGATAAAAACAACAAAATGTAACCGGCACCGAGAAATACAAGCAGAAGTGAAGCAAGTTTATGTACTGTTTCCTCGCCGGCGATGGTGTTTGCCATTGTGACCGCTGTTATACCTAATATTGCAGTGGATATTACATGCAAGACTGCTCCAAATGCAGCTGCACAAGAAAATTGAAAAAGTGATCAAAAGTCCTGAAAGCACTTACGACTTGTTTCTTATGCCTTTTCCACAGCATCTTTAATCGTGTATTAGAGGACCAAGAAAAACGAAAAACAAATGAAATACAGAGATATAGCTTGGTTTAAACATTTAGGTAATCATCCAGATCAAAAACTCATGCAAGGTCCAAACTTCCCATTTATTCTAAACCTCAATCAGGTGACCCAAAAACAACCGAAAGCTTCACGATATGGTTACTAAAATTTTCCATTTGAAAAGAAAGAAGATAATGTATTTGAGACATAAGAGGAATGCAATGGTGAAGTCAGGGTCCGCCTGAAGTCAATGTATGACGACCAATTGACTAGTGTTAATAAAAAATATATGACAATGACATTTTAGCTCCGAAATAAGTTAATACATTACCAGCCCAAAACAGCTTGAAACCCTAACAATTCTGAACTCCAACCCAGAAAACAGAAATTTAAAAAACTCAAGCTGTAGAAATATAAACGACAAGGTTATTACAAAGTGTCCTCGGGGGTCAGGAAAGAAATCTGACCGTAGTTCTTAGTAGGATGCCATTACAAAGTGTTCTTGACAAAATAATACATTACTGTTGCACCAAAGATTGGTCCTAAGATCTAATAATTGGTTGATTAAGCCACACCTCAAGAAAAGTAAAGGTGCCCGAGTCAGCTTTTGAACCATATCTACAGGATTGGTTTAAGCTCAAATGGTCATAGCTTTTAATCCGTTAAATTTTAGTCAAACTAACCAACTGGAGCTTGTCTAGAAGCTTTCAAGGGTCATGAAGTGCATTGAGGCTCGCAAATAAATGATCTGCTACACAGCTGCGTATCATAGCATAACATGTAGACAAAAGAAGTGAGGAATCTCATGTTGGGTAATGGGTACAAAGTGTATTAGACAGATTGATAGCATAACATGTAGGTAAAGTTCATCAAACGAATACGAAATACATCTAAAGCATATATTCATTTAACAAAATGTTGAACATCGACTGCTTTATAGTAATTATTTAGTAAGAGACCAAGACTAGATTACTCAGTATTCCGATCTAATATGAAAAACTTCATGAAATAAACACTAATAAGAATCTAAGTTGGAGAACCAAAGACCGCACAAAACAACGTTTTGTTCCTTTTCCCCCAATTTGCAAGATAATCCAACAAGACAAAGCAGCAGCTATAACTCAGTAATATCATATGAAGTAATAGGAAACGATTTGGAAACAAAACCGGACTAGAGAAAGCAAACTAAATTACAATTTCCGACCATTCGTCCAGACTGCTTGGTCTCGAAGCAGACTATGCCTTTGTAATGCCAGTAGACCAACATCAGCTATCAAGCATAACACCTCAATATCCTAAAGTTGTAGTTCATTTCAGCTGAACCTGAAAGCATCCATCTAGTTTAACCCACTAATTTTCTACCATTGACTCAAACAAGTGAAATGCTTAAAGCTCCCACAGCAAGAAGATAAAGGGTAATGGCAGATCTGCAATTTTACCCAGTTTAAACCAGTAAAATCCCAGGAAAGCAAACAACCACAGAAACTGAGAGAGAGACAGAGAGACAGAGAGAACATACTGACGAAGAGGGTACGGGAGAGAGTCCATTTCTGGGCTCGGCCGACGATGGAGAACGGGAGCCAATGCGTGGGTATGAAGGAATGCAGAAGCGATACGGTTGCGATTCCTCCGATCGTCGACAGATCTTCGGCGCTGAAATTTTCCATCACACCCGAAAACCCAAAAATCCGAATGAAAGAAGCTGTTGGTGGTTCAGCTGTGGAACTTGGTTAGAGATTTTGGGACGGAAATAGAATCGATTGGGTTCCTGCTGCAGCTGCAAACTAGATCGATGATGCTACATTTACATTACAAAGTTTCGGACATGAGACTTGTTGTGCCAATTGCAGTTTTTGCAACGTTGAGATTTTGGACATCCCCTTTGGGCTGAATCCGAATTCGATGCTCCAGCCCTTGAACTCTGTTCCTTCGCGTTTTCTACTCTGCGGACCGAGTTTTGCCGTCCATTTGTGCGGACAAATGTAGGCCCTTGGATTTGATCTCAACGGCTTTAAAATATATCAATCAAATCGAGCTTAGAGCAGTTTCAGTGTTGCCAAGCCCTTCTGGTCATTAAGAAATTCAATTCCGAATGGTAACTGTCTTTTTTTTTGTTTTTTTTTTTTTTTTCTTTTGAGTACATCGATATTTTTACACTAGAGGAGAGAAAGTTCGGCTAAATCACACAATGGGCAACCTAATTTGATATTGAATTAGTAACTATTTTTAACAAATAATAATTGCGCAAGTGCATCTCCACTCTTAAATTGAATAGTTAGACACTTCGTATTAAAATATTATTTTTTAAAAAAAATAACCCCTTTGACATCTCTTCATTTGCAAAGAATTCTCGATGTGAAAACACAGGCTGATCTTTGAATAGGAAAAAGAGTGGATTCGCAGGGTCCCCAATGAATTGGCTTATTCAAAAAAAACGTTGTTCTTTAGAAGATCTATCTCGTGTCTGGTACTGCATGGTTCCACTCTGCAAGAACTCCAAATCATTCTCTTGAAGCCCATCCTCATCATCATAAATGATCTGCTTGCCCCGAAATGACCTGACCTAATAGGGAAATCTTAATTCATTGGGCATTTCGATACAAGCAAATAGAAAGCCCCAAGGGCGCCATATTCTAGGAGCCTAAAGTATGTGATTGAATAAATCTTCCTTTATCCGTTGCGGGTCGAGGACTCCTTCCCTTTCTTCAAACTCCGATTTGTGTTGTTCATAGAGAAATCTCTGATCAACGATAGAACAAGATCCATTTTGAATTATATCTAAGGGATTCCTTGGTTCGGGTCGAAGAAGCAATGTCACTTGATCATTATCAAACTGACTGCAATCTTATTTTGTCCGTGAGGATCCCACCGGAGCGCCTTCTACTTCTAATAGGCCATAAACTAAATCAGAATCATTTTCAACGAGTCCATAAGAAGTGATCCCATTTTTTTCATCGGGTCGGGGTAGAGACCAAAGGTCTTGAGTGACCGATCTGGCAAAACAACTCAAAAGATAAAGAAGTATCGTTAATTTCTTCATGCTCGTTCCAAGTTCGAAGTACCATTTGTACAAATAAGAATCCCCTTTGTTACATGATTTCTTCTTCATATAAATAGATATAGGATCTATGGAGCAATTACTTAGAAGTACATTTTGTGCAACATCCCTTCCTATCCTATCTGATAGAAAAGGATCCCATGATCCTGAATCGATCTTACTTGGGATCGCAAATCCCAAGTTTGTCTATGAAGAGCAAATTTAATTATGTTAGTGTCTATAATTGATTTCTTCTGTGTAATACTAATTGATAGGGCCTCATTGGTAAGTGCTACAAGACCTTGTACATTGGAACCCATGGTTATGGACCCGAATCCATTAGTATGAAACATTTTCTTTTCCAAGTGAAATCCCCTAGTATATGAAAGAGTGAAAAAATGCTTTCGTTGTTGTGGAATAAGAAGCCTTCGTATCTTAATGCATGTATTTAATTTATTCGGAGCTATTAGAGCGGGATCCACTTTTTTGGGGAATAGGAGTCGAAGCAATAACAAGAATATTTCTAGTGGAACATCTTTCACAATACCTGGAGAGATAGTTCACTAATAGACCGAGGGATAAGTAATTCGACTCATTTACATCCAGATCATGAATGTTTGGAATCCATGTTATGCAATGAGACATTGCTTTTGCTAATTCGAATTGAAGGCTGATATAAAATTGGTCTATTTCCGGCATCATATCCATAGTTAACGCATTCATCATAGTTAGAAATGTCAGCTCTGTATCAAAGTCACGGTCGTCACTATCATCAATATCGTTGCTATCATCAATATCGTCACTATCATCAACAAGAAAACGCTTGGGCTTGTTAGCCAAGAACTTGTTCAGAAATACTGTAACGAAAGGAACATAGGAGTTTGTCGCTAGGTATTTGACCAAATAGGATTGTCCAGTTCCTATAGAACCTATCACTAAAATACCCCTAGAGAGGGATAGGGCTAAGCGGAGCGAAAAGGGTTTTCCATGAGATGGGAAATGAAAACTATTAGCCCCACAGGAGGTTTGTGAATAAGTGATTGTCTGATAATGAGTAAGGAATATCCGTCTTTCTGCTAAATAGGATGTATTGAACTCATAATTCATTAGATATTTTTTATGAATATCAATTAAGTATCGTAAGTAAATTGCTCCCAGTTGTTCAATAATTTGATAACCAGAATCATTCTTTGATAAATGATTACTATGAGTTAGACTCAATAGAATTTGATCAATCATTTTTTCTGTCGTTAAGGTGGAGAACTGAACCAAGAATTCTTTTTCTTTATCATCAATCAAATCACTGTTCGAGACCCAGGATTCTATTTTATCATCAATCCAATCACGATTCACGTTTTTCTTTTTCTTATTAATGAATGGATCTCTTTACTTGTATGACTTATATGTCTCGTATTTCTCGAAAAAACGATTCGATTGATGAGATTTGGTATGATACTTATGAAATCGATGATATCGATGAGTTTGATATTCAAATATTTCTTCTTAGAACGTATTGATTTGACCCCATAAGCGGGACCACCACCCCATAGCAATGCTTGTTGCAGCCAGAAACCCATATTTCTTCTAGAGAATCTCCTAATTGTTCCCGAGCAACTAGAAAAATATTCTTTAACCAAAAATAATTCAGTTTAGATGTAGGATACCTATCCAGAAGTTTTCGCAACTCAATCATGTATGATAGAATCATCAAAGATTTGACCCTTTCGAACTCTGTCTGTAACTCACTACAGGCTTGAGAAATAAAGAGAAGATGTGTACGAACGAGATATCCAGCAACAAGAAGAGGGAAAATGATTGGATAGAGGAACTTCTGAACATTTGGCAATCTCAAATGTGTTGATATCAATGATGACTCATTATTTCGATGAATCATTTCTTCGGACAAAAGAAGATTATGTAAACACTTACTCGAAATATCACTTATCAGATTCCATTGTGGAAGACACAATTTTTTCTGAAGAATTCGCCATGATATATCTTATCCATGCATAATATCATGAAAAATGGATACAAATTTTTTACTGCTACTTAGTATCATTAATAGGTCTGAAAAAGTATCTAAAAATATCAAATTTAGATATTTGTATCATGTTGAAGTAAGGAACCATGACATATATGTTTGGAATATATTCCATTTTGAGAGAGTTGAAAAAGCACTATCTCGTTGAAAGGTTTTATACATCTGTCCTTTCTCAAGGCATTTCTTTAGACAAAGATCCCATTTTTTCCTCTTTTCGAATGGTAAATATTTCTCAGAACATGAAGTGTGAATCAAACCCATGTTTGAATTGAAATTGAGATACTGATGCAAGTTCTTCCCTTCTGAATTAGACAGATTCATATCTGAAAGAGGTTGACAATAAGTTCTTTCAAAATTGACTATCTGTCCCTTTGTTAGAAGTGTTCCAGAAATGTCTGCGATCAAGTAAATAGCTCTACGAACGAATGGATAAGATCGAATTGGAAAATGTAAAGAGTTGTACAAGTTATCCCTTTCGTCACCATTTTGTGGAAAATCGTTAGGTATGAATATGTTAGACACCTGTAACTCGATTGGTGAAATAGTATCTCTCTTCAAAAAAGCATTTTTTTTTTTACCGCCGCACAAAGAAAATATTTTGTTGCGAATGAACAAGATATTGAGGAATTGTCTGTTGGAAATATGCCCTGAAAGTCAATCTTTGGAAGAAACCTTTCAGGACAATGAATTGATGTATATATGACTCTTATACATCGGAAGGCAAAGATACTAATTGGGACTATCTCAATGAACGAAATATGTCCTAAATAGTGAATCCATGGACAATGGATCGATGGAAGAAGTAACCTAATGATGTTAGGTTACAGAGACCTTCTTCTCATAACCATTATGTCCAAAAAGGTTCCTGGTCATAAGGATTGTCGGAGGGATACTGACAATCCATAGACTGGTACATACTATGTCCGCTTCAATTGGAAGGATGGAAAGTCTCATCCCATTCGTGTAGCGACACTAAGACAAGCATGTAGGTGCTCATTAAGGGAATGAGTTCACTGAACACAATCGAACGAGAGTACTTGCATGGAGGTCTACTCACATGTCAAGCAAGTAACTCTAATGGTTGGAATAATGTAAGTAATCCTTTGACCTGAGGCATCTCGTTGTCTTGTGGTTAAGTACTTAATCTTTGATTATGTTAAAGTCATTCCATTCGAGAGTGTCCAAGGCATCGTTGGGGTTAAGCCACTTAGCCATGAAGGCAAGTGAATGCGCAACAAGGAATCTCTAATCTTCGATAAGAGAGGATGAATACTCTAAGATATGATTCGGAAATCTTCGGCCGAAGTATCGAGTGTAATAAAGGAAAGCGTTCCTATACGTCTCAAATGAATCATATAAGAAGGAATAATCACATTAGGGGTTTGACATTATAAATCCATACCCTAGTAATGTGATTGAGAGTATTGTTTTAGAGAAGGATCGAATTACATTGTAATTCCAACTGAATAGGTTCTCCGAATAACTTCTACATTAGCTTGGGTAGCCATGATATATGATTAGATGTCACTCATGGCTTGTGAGTTCTTCTAGATGATTAAATGTAGTCATTAAAAGGAAGGTGAATTAAAAGTAAGTTTTAAATCACTAAGTGATTGGATAATCAATTGGATTGGTGCCAATCACCTCACTGCCTTGCTAATTAGAACCTAAAAGATTGTTCACCGATACACTCTTGTAGTGAGTAACTAATGGATGAAGGAAATAATTAATTGGATTAATTAAGTGTTTTGATTAATTTAGAAAGTCT